ACGATGTATTCCAACCATCATGAGGCTATCTAAATGAGCATTTGTCATAACAGAACGCAAATTATTTTTAATTAGTCTCATTGAATTATTATTATTATTATTATTATTATTATTATTATTATTGTTATTGTGGTTGTTGTTGTGATGAAAAGTTAACACAAACGATATGGTGGCTAAACGAATATTACACGTAAATATTTTTTTTTATCTGTTTGTTCCCCGACAAAATTTATCGTCTTCCCCGACCCGACGGGGGGGGGGGGCTATGGCCCCCAGCCCCCCTCTGGCGCCACCCCTGTTGTGCCATGAAACTCAATATCAATGACGTTTTGCCTAACCTGACGTGTTATCGTATGTATGTACTCCAGTGAAAAAAATAATCTCCCCAGTGATTCCCGAATTAGTACGAGATTCCCGAATAATTGCGAGATTCCCACACAGAGTTGATCTCGCGGTAACACGGTAACAGTTAAGCTTGGTTTCTATTGCGTCTGGGGGAAGCTATACCACGCAGCGTTCTAAGCTTGTGTCACTTGCCACTTATAGGATGAGAATGATGCTCTATAAACTAAGTCTCTATATATGAGGAGTGGAGTTGATTTTAGTCGTGAGAAAAAGTCCTGCTTTGACAGGAATTGAACCCAGACCCTGGGATCAGAAAGCAAGCATCTTAACCACTGAGCTATTCAACTCTCCTCTGGCGTTTATTAAAGGAATATTTACCAAGGCTTTTCGATAAGAGTTTATGATATTATGTACAAATAAACAAGTTTGAGGAGTTTAAGCACTGTCGAAATTTATTCGAGCGGAGGCTTATTATTGTGTGAAAAACTGCCACCTAGCGGTCTGTTTTGATGTTATAGCCACTACAGCAGCTTTGTTTTTATGACTAATTCAGTCTATATAGGCCTACAAGTATCGCCTTCAAGATATATAGCTTGCTGAAAATAATGCACAGACCATTACTGTATCATCATCGTTGTCGTTTTGGTGATCATTATCAACATCACCAACGCCATCATTGCCAACAACCAAAATATGCTATCATTCTAGCCATATATCAGTGTGTCATCACTGTTAGCTATGTTTATCAGCCATGGGCTTCTATCGAGAACTTTCGTTGAAAGTATAGCCCCATTTTGTTTACCTTGATTAGATTCAAGTCTGAATCATGTCCTGTGGTAACATTTGGAGATGATTTTGCAATGATTGGTTTTATTAAGAAAGATGATTACACTCATTATTCAAAAGAAATTAATAGCTTTGTAAACAACGTAATTATCCATGATATTTTTTTACAATTGAGCATTCATTATAATGAAGACGAATGAACGTAATATAGAATATTGCTTCAAACAACTGAATAAGTTTAAGTCGAACAATAATGATTACGTTTCATAAGTCTATAGTTGATGGTCTATATCGAGTACCGGTACCAGACTTTTTGGAATTGTGTTAGATAACGAAAAGCATCCATTACATTCTGAATTGGTTAGTTTCAGAAGCACTCGAAGTGAAAGATCGATATATAAAATAGATGGAAGTAGAAAGAGTGCCTACAGTGATCACTCCAACAGAGTGTAATAGGAAGGCCTATAGTAAAGTAACACGTAGTCAAATTTTAGTCTATTCCATTAATCTTTCATTAGTGTAAAAATTAAGCTTTCACTCGTAAAAAAGAAACGAGGCGAGCTCTGTAGGCACATTTTAATATAGATTTTCATTTTGCTGAGTTAGTATCAACATTGTTGTCAGTATTTGTGTTAATGGGAATGGTATATTAGCATGTGTATAGCTACTTATATACAGTAATTTATTAAAATAAATTTATTTATTAATGAAAAGGTACAATTTCAGTGAATAATGTGAAGATTATTACCATTAAGACAAAGCTTTTGCGTACAAAGTGCACTTCTTCATTTTTCAGGTACTTATATATTTCAGAGGCATTTTGATTCATTGTTGCAAGCTTCAAGTTATCTACGGTTATTCATACACAGTAATAGCGTTGTTATTATTTATCATTACTATTGTTATTGCTACTATCACTATTGCTTGTATTGTTATAATTATCATTAGTATAAGCAGGGAGTTGTTATAACTCCCTGGTATAAGAATAGTATTGTTTTGTTATTATAGTCTATTAACGTTAGTCACTCGCTCAGTTGTTATCTTATTCCTCCGGCAAAGTACAATATTAGCCGAATTTTAAAAGTAAATTGCGAGACCGTGAATGATGCTGGCAAGAATATAAATGCCATGGGACCGGCTGAGTGTTTATAAACATCTCACAGCCTTTGGGAATTCTAGAGATTCTCCACGCTTGAGTTAGTTAGTGGGGACTATGAGTTCATACCCTGCTCAGCCCCACCATGGACAAATAGAGACACATGTAGGTATATTGTGAAATAATTAATTGTTGAAAATTTAATTTTTATCAGTTAGTGCCATAAATATATGGATTGAGTTGCTAATTCCGCCATGAATAATTAGAGATCAAACATGAATGCATTAACATACAATAAATAACAGTGTCCGGGGTTTTGGTCTAGCTACACGCATTATATATTTACACAACGTGCAAGAATAGGTCCATGGTGCAAGGTATTGTGAAATATAAACAATATGCAGTTAAATAAAATATGTGTTATGTATTCACAGGATGCAATATGCTATGCATTATGAAATAGGCCTACAAATATGAATACCGTAGTAAACATAGTGCTGATACAATTTTATTTACACTTTTACCGGTATATTCCAAATTTAAATTCGGTCTGAAGGATTAATAAATTATTTATCACTCCCTTTAGATGAGTTTGTAGGCCTACTATTGAGTTGCTTATTCCTCCATGAATAAATGGAGAGCAAAGAACATGAATACATTATAATACAATGAATAGCAGTGTCCGGGGTTTTGGTCTAGCTGCACGCATTATATATGTACACAACGTGCAAGGTATTGTGAAATATAAACAATATGCAGTTAATTTATGTATTTACAGGATGCAATATGCTATAGCCATTGCCTACCTAGTGGAAGTTTTACTGACAACTCACGGTAATTAATCGTTGTAGAAGAAATTATACCGCGATTGAAAATTGACTGTTCTATACTTCAAAAGTAAAGCGTATTTTGCTTTAATATGATGAGCTATTTTCTTTATCTAAATCTTAATAGTCAACTAAATATACACGTCTGATTCGGAGGACATGGCATTGAACTCTAGGGAGAACCTAGGCCTACATAATAGGCCACCGCCTAGAAAATTGTGAGTAACCAGCTGCTGTGTGCGAGCATAAAAAATATAGGCACGGGCTAGACCTGATTTTATGTTTAGGTCAGCATGTAACATTGAATAATAATAATAATTACATCTAATTTTATAGCTCCATGACTACATACACTCGACCTACTGAAGATTGAACCAAGATGGGAGGCTTTTTTCCCAGAAGGTGTATAAGAGACAGATATATATATATATATTCATAATTATAATATATGCATTCATAATTCAGTACGGTAATCCTTATGTATCACTTTATTCCCTACTACTTCTTTGTGAAGCCCAATATTAAGTAATGTCATATACAAGTGATCTTATAGCATTCAAATAATAAATGATCTTTATAATCATCGAAAAGAGAGTAAATATGAACAAACACTTACATGATGATACTGCTACAATAAAAATATATACGAGAAATACAGAACGTTCCATCTTCAATTCCATTGACAGTTCAGGCATCCAACAAGCAGAGTGCGCGCTCCTACAAGATCATAATATTTTGACTACCCACTGATTTGAACACAACCAAACAGAACAATGGACATTGATACACATATTAGATTTCTTCTACAACCATGCTAAGTAAGTTCATTCAATGATTTGCAATGTTACATCGATTGTGACTTCTATTAAACTTCTGTCCACACTGTCCGTAAGGAAGCGAAGGTACGAATAATAACCCCATTAGTAAATTTTAACCAATGAACAATAGGCATGTGCGGTATAAGTATAAATGTGTGACGTTATCGATTTACGTAACTGGTGTCTGTTTCAATTTGGTACATGTTATACAGTAGTTGTGTATCAATAGAGAAGGCGAGTCGATGGAACAACAATTAACAGGAGCAAGCAGGTCATCACCTTCAAATAAATATTATACAACTGTAAACAACTCAAACAAGTTTCACAATCCTAAACATTTACGTTTAATTTGTTGTCATATGTAGCATTAGGTTATCTCAGTGAGGTTCTGCTGCATGCCACAGCACGAAACATTGACAGAACAATAATAATACTTTAATAATATCAATAAAAACAATAAATAACAATAACAGAAATAGGCCTAACAATAATAAATATGTCAGCATGTCTTTGTTTATGATGGGTGTCGAATATACTTTTCATTTCTGGGGCGGATGCAGGATTTGTTGGTAGGGGTTGCGTGGGATAATTTTGAAAATCTCAATCTCAGCTTAGCAAAAATAGGCCTATCGTAAGCCAAAAAAGTTTAGATGTCCCTAAGCAAATATCTTAAGCTGAATTATCAAACCATCTTAGCAAAATCTTAGCTTAAAAATCGTCTAAGATGGTTTATACGTACAATCGACTTTTTAATTTTAAGCAATTTTTAAGTTAAAGCAATATTGAAAATTTGAGTTAAGCAAAAAAATTGATTTAAGATGAATTTAAGCTGATTTCTAGTTTAATAAATCCGGCCCCGGACCTTAAGTTGCCCGGAAATTGCACTCTCTTACTTTTAAAATCTTACCGGTTACTATATTTTAACGATAAAAATAATATATCAACAATACAATACAATTATTTTTCTTAAGATAAGATAAACTTTGTCCATTATATATATGGAAATTTATGATCCATTTGGCGTAAAAATACAAAAACATCAATTAAATTACATCACGATTTAAATTGCACTACAAATATAAATCTCAAATTGTTATCAAAGGAATTAGGAAACACAAAGTAGCGTAATACAAAATCCTAATACAATTGCACCTCCCCCACCCCCTGCATCCGCCCCAGCTTTTAGAAAATATTTAAAATTAGTGTTTGAACTTTTAGGTTCATACTTGTACAGTAGTTAAAAATATAAAACAAATTATTTTGTTAATCGCATAAATTTCTGAGTAATAGACATCCAACGACGTTGATTAGATGAACATATTTACATAACTGGTTGTGAAATGAGGATTCTTTGTTCATTGTCCTTGTGAATATCGTGAAATGTACAATGTGCATTATTTTAAAATTACAGTGATCTAATGGGTGTACAAGAAATACTTCTATGTCAACTTAAGTGCATTCTGATTGTATGTTCTAAAACACAAGATTTAGCCCTATACACTTTAAAGATCACTGCTGTTGGAATCAGCTTCTGGTAAATAAATATTAACCAACACATCGTATCAGTATGTCTAACAGTGGTCCCCGTGCAGAAACTAGTATGGTCACATTGGGTCTGTTTTATTCTTGATGGCTTAATTAGCAGGCTGCACAGTAGTTTTAGTGAGTTTTCCGCCTGCTCAGTGTTTTATTGATCGAGTTTTTATTATTACATTACAACGTAAAATAAATGATGGTCACACACAATTAGGAAAAACTCAATTAGCACGCAAATGGATGTAGGTACTACACCAACAGTGAAAGTACAATAATGGGTAGTCATTTAATTTAGGTAGTAATTATTTGGAGGTAAACAAGCAGGCAACTAACTGCTTCAATCAATCGCGACCAACCAACCAGTGCCACAGCTTCAAACAACAACCTAGTGGTTTTAATCCTGTATAAATATGATTGAAATAAGAAATAAAATAAAAATAGCATGTAGGATTGTATGAAAGCCAAGCTCATATAATAGTGTGCTTAAAGACATTCTTCTTTGGTGGTATACATCCTGTGCAGTAGTGACAGATGCAAGGTATTTCAGTTGAGGGAGCAGATCCAAATATGAGGATGTGAAAATAATGAAATACACAGACGACAGTCATCATAGGACTTATTAACTCTGTGTTGGATACTGAAACTGTGGTGTAAACAGAACTGTTTTACAAATTGCCTACCAGCAACGAGTATACTCGTCCCCCAGGGTGTTACTGAGGACGATTATTCCCGTCAAAATCGGGGTAACATTCTATCCTAGCGTTTATTTGTAAAATTGTTTTGCCGGTAGTACACTCGAGCGGCACAAGTGGGCACCCTTTAAACATATACCAACCCATGCAAAAAGCGGACGAGATAACTCGCATTTGGCAGTCAATAGAAGTACCGTCACAGTTCCGTCGATGAGTTTACTCTTCCCCTATTATTTTCCCGCCAATTGTACATGTATGTACATGTATATGTACAAGTATGTTTGTACATATAACCTTGTTTTGGCACAAGGGAAGGAACCTTAAAAAATGGTCTGGTAGTCAATGTGTTAAAAATGAATGGACAAAAAACAAAAGTTGTTATTGACTATAGAAAAGGCAAAAATAATGTTGTATCCCTTGTTGTTGACAATGTTGTGATTGAGACTGTTAAACGGTTTAGAGATTGGCAAGTTAAATTTGGGGGAGAAAAGTGTGACAAAGATTGTTAAGTTTTAAGGGCCTGATTATAATTATATTGTTTTGCATTAATCCTGCACTTTGTTTAGCGATGTACCAATTGATTTTCCTAAAAGACACAAATAAGGAATCTTGAATAAAGTTTCATCAAGAACAACGGCTGAGGCGAGGCTGCAGTTAGAGGTGGCGTACAAGTTCCTTTGCCAGTGTTCTGGATCTGCCACTATGCAGTAATCACTATATAATGTTGATAGAGATGTAACGAATCAAAGAAAATAATCAATATTTCAAACTGTTTTTTTCCGGACAACATTTAATTCTAGTCCAGCTGAAAATGTAATCATTTTTCAATTAAAGTTAGTTAATTTTTATATTTTTTATAATATTGCTGGCTTTATATTTTAACATGGGATTTGTCTTTTGGATTGAAGCTTTTTTAGGAATCTCTGTTGATAGTGTTGTTTAACTACATAGCTCTCTTTCTTTTAAATCTTTCTTTGAATTCTACAGTAATAATTTCAGATATGGTGGTGATCACAGCAACACCAGTTGTAAAACAAACACTTAAGAAAAACTGCTGGAAACAGCCTATTTGTCATAGCTATATGTTTGATATGAGTAACAGGTCAAATCTGCAGGAATACATCCTGGGTCCTAAGAAAAGCAGATGCTTAAGCAAGTTCCTCAGCAAGTGCATCGGCCTTGGCTACTACTTCTTCGATGTTACCAACCATATGGAAAGCTACATCTGGGTATTGATCCATTTCACCTATACAAGACAACAACAAATTGAAAATAGTTTTATTTTGAGAAATATTATTAGTATAATAGTAACAAGTTTCATGTTACATACTCATTCATTTTTAATCAACCTGATGTACCGGTAGAAAGGTTATTTCAATAATGAAAGTAAAATATTAATGAGTAAATAAAGCCATATTATTAAAAGCCTGCCATACAGAGACATGAAATGACAATTGGTTTGATCAAATAAATCTGAATATAGCAACACATTATCATACGAAGACTAAAGCTTTGTCCACGCTATCATATATTCCTGGACAAAAAACTGTTGTATAGTCATGAAATGCTTATTTATGGTCATGATATGATGTCATCATGACCATATTTAGGCATATCACATGTTATTGTCAAATAAAATTTGACAGCCTTGACAGGGCTTAAATTATCCGACACAATCTGATCAAACATGGGTTGAGTCGACAGACAAAAAACAGACTGTGCATTCCTTGCAAGTTTCTTATAGTTTAGATATAAATAAGACCTTAACATGTAGGTTTAGCATCGATTAAGTTATTGGAAGTGAGCATCAGACTCGCATAGACCGTCATATTTACAAACCTTTCAAAATCTTGTTGAATCCATAGATGGTCTCTTTGAGGGGTACAAGTTTTCCTGGTGTTCCGATAAATACTTCTGCGACTTGGAAAGGCTGTGACAAGAAACGTTGGATCTTTCGCGCACGGGATACAGTTAGCTTATCTTCTTCGGACAACTCATCCATACCCAAAATAGCAATGATATCTTGCAGCGAACGATGATCCTATTACACAAAATAAAATGTTATCAATGATTACACACACATATATTCAAATGATGATTCCAGTATATTATTAAGCACACCACTGTTGAGAATATAGTGTATGTTAAACTTAAACTTGAACCTTGTTACTTTGAATATTTACTTTAAGTTATTGGCTTACAATTAAAAAGTAAAAGAAGAAAATATTTCAGATTTAAAAGATAAATGTCTTTAAATCAGTAAAAACAGGTTTGTTTTCCATCTGACTGACTAAAAGCTGACCCCTAGCACAACAATTTATTACTGCAAAAAATCTCATCCATTAGTTAGACTGGGAATGGCGGACCATTTCATACTCTCCTAATGAACCATCAATGATGAGACAACAGCAATTTCATACCTGCAAGATCTTTTGTACACCACGAGCAACATTGTAATGCTCATCCCCAACAATGAATGGATCCATAATACGTGATGATGAATCTAGAGGATCCACAGCTGGGTAGATACCCAATTCAGCAATACCACGGGACAAGACAGTGGTGGCATCCAAATGCGCAAATGTGGTGGCAGGTGCAGGATCAGTCAAATCATCAGCGGGTACATAGATAGCCTGTAGACAAAAAATTTAAGTTTATCATTTTTATTATAGTGTACTAAAGTGTTATGTCACAATACCACATGATACTACTCCGTTGCTATCGTTGCAAAAAGAATTCAACCGGACGCCATTTTCTTCACTGACAAACCACTGATCCCAATTTTTAACGTAATTATTAAGATGTTGTATCTTACTTTTTCTTTGTAAATTTTAATTCATGATTAAATGTGTGACGCCATTTTCTTCACTGACAAACCATTGATCCCAATTTTTAACGTAATTATTAAGATGTTGTTATCTTACTTTTTCTTTGTAAATTTTAATTCATGATCAAATGTGTGACGCCATTTTCTTCAATGACAAACCATTGATCCCAATTTTTAACGTAATTATTAAGATGTTGCATCTTACTTTTTCTTTGTAAATTCTAATTCATGATTAAATGTGTGTTCGATAACTAATATAATGCGAGCTTTTGTGTTTTTAGTACATTTTGATAGTAAAAAATTAGATTTTAAAATGCCTATTCCAGAAAGCCTATGAAGTCATTCAGGCGTAATGAACAGTAACTAACATCTGTTGACAACAGAGTACTCTATTGTTTTGTAGAGTAAATGAAACACAGCAGCAAGGGAGCTGCGCTCTGGTGCTAGTGGAGCCTTGACCTTGTTCAACAACATACTATGGAATTTCCCCGATAGGCATCGTTTCAATGACTGGATTAAAAAGCACTTTGATATTTTTTTTTGTAAAGCCACAATATAAATGCTTTTTAATAAAAATCTGCTCCAAGACTTGTGTAGAGCGCTATATGAAAATGTACATCATACTATTATTATAATCTTGTTAATATAATATGGTTGATATATTTATTAAATGATATACAAATATGTGTCCATAGCGACACTTACCTGTACAGATGTAATAGATCCCTTGGTTGTTGTGGTAATTCTCTCCTGCATAGTACCCATATCAGTAGCCAAGGTTGGCTGGTAGCCTACAGCAGATGGAATACGGCCCAACAAAGCAGATACCTGAAATACAGTGAATTGAAATTTAAAAAAAAAAGCTAAGAACTTTCACGTTTTTAAAATAATTTAATTAGGGGATGCATCATGGTTAGCTTACAATCTCGCATATGGAAATTCAATAGCAAAAAATTCCAAAGTCCTCCCTTGACTAAAGCAAATTATTTCCGCTTCTGGAATAAAACTATTAAGTTCACTGGACAATCAGCCTCTATATGATGGTGACTTAAAAACAGAATGATGAATCAACTTTTAAATAATTATAAATATAACTAACCTCAGAACCAGCTTGTGTGAATCTGAAGATGTTATCAATAAATAGAAGCACATCTTGGCCTTCCTGATCACGGAAATACTCGGCAACTGTCAATCCAGTCAGAGCAACTCGGGCACGAGCACCAGGGGGTTCGTTCATTTGACCGTACACGAGGGCTACCTATAAGATTAAAAAAGGTAGACATATGATTATTATAAATACTTATAAAAGCATTCAATTTTCTAGCCTAGTTATATAAGCTGAGTATTTGCAAAAATGATTAGATGTTTGGTGATTTAACTTCATGTTTTCAATTTTATATTTTTCGTCCATTTCCTCCTCCTCTGTGGAAGCACTTTTTCCTTAAAAACCATATTCAATAGTAAACAATTCCATAGCGTATATCTAATCAGACTTGTCGGCTTGCTTTCTATGCATACGATTGTTATTTTTCTTTTAATGAGGTCAAATGTAGATACCTTGGATTTGTTTCCCTCAAGATCAATGACACCACTTTCAATCATTTCATGGTAAAGATCATTTCCTTCACGCGTCCTTTCTCCAACACCAGCGAATACCGAGTAACCACCGTGAGCCTTAGCAATGTTGTTGATCAATTCCATAATTAATACAGTTTTTCCTACACCAGCACCACCAAACAGTCCTGTGAAAAACGAAAAGAAAAGTGGATAGTTTAATTAGTATAAATAACATGCATTCATCTACGCATAGGTTAATTTTACCACCTGGTATAAAGAGCTACTGGAACATCTAGCTACCAGCTAGAAAAATGATACTGAACTAATAGTTTGTATTTTCTGTACTTACCAATCTTACCACCTTTTGCATAAGGAGCAAGTAGATCTACAACTTTGATGCCAGTTTCTAGAATTTCTTGCTCTACATTCATTTCTACAAATTCAGGAGCTTCTGCATGGATAGCTGATCGCCTGGAAATACAAACATTTTATATGCAATGTAGCATTACCCATAATATCAAGTAATACTGAATTTTATAAATAAAGTCCTTTATTACCAAGTAAATACTGAATTTTATTGATAAAGTCCTTTATTACTAAGTAAATACAAGTGCTATACATTAATTAAAAGGCAAATAATGAAACATAAATAAAAATGTAACAATAAAAAAAAATACATCACAAGGACTCTTCAATACACATTCATGGCTACAAATCTTTTAGATAAACAATAATTGAATTACTGGCAGTGACAATAAGATATCATGCATGCGATTGACATTACTTATTGGTACTTAACGAGTGAATAATTATATGGTAACCAATATACCTGTCTGTTGGAATTGGGCCTCTCTCATCAATTGGTTCACCTATGACATTGATAATTCTACCAAGGGTTTCAGGGCCAACAGGGATACTGATTGGCGAACCTGTGTCAACGCATTCATTTCCGCGTACGAGACCTTCAGTACCATCCATGGCAATTGTCCTTACCGTGCTTTCACCTGGTGGAACAACATTATGTGAATATTCTGAAAATGGCCAGTTTTTTTATCACTACAGTACCTTTTATAAAATAAGGTTCTAAATACAGGTCTCCCTCCAATTAAAGATAATTTTTGGGACCGCGGTTTCCATGGTCTTTAGCAGCACTGGTCTCTAATTAAAATAATAATAAAGATAAAAGACATTTGTTAATTTGAGACATGGTCATTAATTGGAGGATCTTTAATTACAGAGGTCTTTAATTAGAGGGAGACCTGTAACATTTCTTTACCTACTGTATATAGTTGCTCAGGCAGTAATTTCTATTTACTACAGATTTTAATTTCTCAAATCTGGCCAATGTATACCAGCTTAACCTCTTGAAAAAAGAACTAGTATGTACTCAAGATATTTTGCAGCTGACAAAAGCTAAAATGTCCTGGTATGACATTTAACTGCATCAGACCAGGCTGCTGGAAGTTAATTGTATGACTGGCAACCAAATTTACTGGTGTTATGGTAAAACTACCGACCCCCCCCCCACACCCACCAAAAAAACCACCCCCCCCCCCCACCCACCAAAAAAAAAAAAAAAAAATTACAGCCAACCATGCATATTTTTTAGTTTTCCGATAAGGACTAGTTTCTCAGCTAACTTATATGTGTTGCTGAGCGCTATATTTTCCCCCGAGCGCATAGCAGTACCAACAAAATGCTTTACAAGCACACCTTTATTAGTAATATGGCACTTTTTGGTAGTTGCTGGTAATCATAATTTATTTTTCTGAAATGAATGAATTTTTCTTACCTAAATGTTGTGAGACTTCAAGAACAAGTCTTGAGCTTCTTCCTTGGACCTCCAAGGCATTAAGAATTGGTGGTAAACCCTCATCGAATTGGACATCTACAACAGCTCCAATAACTGCCACGATTTTTCCTACAGGCTTTGCGGATGCTGCAGCTTTAGCATCTGCAGCATACTGACGTTCTAAAGAGGCAAAGATATATTTTTAACTACAGTACAGGAATACATTAAATCATACGAAAGCTAAGCTAGGATGGGTGTGTAAATTGAGGGTGCAGAAACAAAAAAGAAGAGACAGGTGGAGACAAGAAAAAAAGTAAAAAGAAAAGAGACCAAATGCCAAAGCCTTGCATGCATTCAAGACTGTTTCAACTATTACATGAGTTTGGAACTACAGTATGTGCAGGAGGCATCCCACTGATAACTGTGAGGGCTGCTTTCAGACTGTGGTAGTGTTTGTTTCCAATACTATAGCTATTTTGGCTGTTACTTGTTAAAATTTAGAAGATTTCCATTCAAAAATTTGTTAAGGAAAAATCTTTGTTTAACCAGTAAAACTTCATAAATTAAAAATAAATTAACTTCGAGTTGAGGGCTCTTTGTAAGTAGGTCACTTCCTTAATCTTCATATTAATTTCATAAAATCAACTATTAAATTATACTTAAATAGTGACCAGACTGCAAAATAGGTGCTGCATGGATGGCAAATGTATCATTTGAAATAAAACATTGAAATTAAATGATTTTGCCGAGCCATACTTTATAAATCTGTCTGCACATTTCGAAAAAAAGGATAAATTAATATAATAATCATGTTATCAACTTATGCAGTAGTTTGTTATTGATTCTGCAACTGTCCAAGTTTTTGATGTATCCCTTGCACAAATAAAATACATTTGGTTTTTTACAGCGTGGAATAGTGATAGAACTGGACTTCGCTTACTGTAGCCTCTTCACTAGCTACCCTAGGCCTAAGGCCTAGCCTTTAGATATACATTCATTTAGAAAAAAAAAATCTATATGATTTAGACTGCAGCACACACACATTGGATACAAACCAGTAGGCTTGTACAGTATGTATACAGTAGACTAGAAAGAAAATACAAAAAAACCCTCAACCATGTTATTTCTTTCAGTGATTATTGTAATAATGTAAGCAAATACTGTAATGAAAATGATATAATATTTTACAATAATAATATTCCAACAATAAACGAGATAGTAGTTATGACTGGCCTGTCTGGTGAATGGTTGTTAGGCCTAGATACTGAATGAATATTTTCTTTGAAACCAACCACGACCATTCAGTCTGCTGACCATGTTGGAGGCAGCAAACCGGTGTTGGTTGGTTGGAAAGCTGCATTCCGCCAGCGATCTCAACCGGCTTTATGAACCTGCAAAAATATAGTATTTTAAAGCTAAAAATGAGTAATTACTTGAACAGGCAACTGCAGGAACTAGTGAAGATGACTTTTGAGCTGCAATTATGCCACTCAATGAAGGTTGAGCAGCTTTTAGGGCCGAGAAACTCTTCCTTACAGTGTGTAGCATGGTGTCGACCGGCGAAATGATCTGACGTCACTGAACAACCCCGTATGTAAGTTTATATCTAGCAAAAATGTATGAAAAGCATCGTCAGAACCAGCTCAGAGGCGAAAATCATAAAATCGCACACTTCCCTTTTCCACTGTGTAGTCTGCAAAGCCTATTACCAGGCCCGTATTTAGGAATTTCAATGGAGGTGGGGGGTTGGGGGGTTCGGCTTGGGACTATGCGGAACTCCTTATCAAAACCCACATACTTCTTCTTCTCTCCCCTAAATGGGGACTTTATTCAGTGTGATAGACCTCAGGCCCTTTTACAGTATAAATAAATATACATTTTTAGTGCTTTAAATAAGGCGAGACTTTTTTATACCTTGTTTAGCGAACCCTCCGATTCCGAAATTTATATTTATTTTTATTCTGTCCTGCGCTACATGGAATCCCTTTTTCCGAAAATTTAAATCTTCCCAATTTTCACGGAACTCCCGCGATAGGGGGGGGGGGGGTTTCGGACGAACCCCCCCGAATCCCCCTTAAATAAACGGGCCTGATTACTATCTTCGATGTAATCGGTTCGGACGAACCCCCTCCCCCCTAAATAAACAGGCCTGATTACTATCTTCGACGTAATCGGTAAGTCTCCGCTCTTCTAATCGAAAGAATATTTAATAAAATTCACAGAAAATCAGTTTTTAAAAATCGTCTAGCTTACTCTCGTAGAATGTTGATGAAAATCCATCGATTGTAATCTTAAATCAATAAAATACTGTATGTTGTCTTTCTTCGTAAGAAATCCGGCTTGTATAATAATAAACATAAAAACAGACCCCGAAAAATAAAATGTGAGATTATTATGATGAATATATTATTAATCAAAATGATATGACAGGTCGAGGCCTTTGACGATAATGACGAAAAAAAAAAAAAAAAAAAAAAAAATGATTAAACCGGGACAATAGGCCTACAGTTCAGACAATCCATGCAGCTTGTTCTTTACATTTTGCAAATGGTTAATGGCTTATTATTATTTATTCAGGCAAATATATATACAAAATATAATACAAATCAATAAATCAAACGAACATAACATAACAAGTACCTTACATTATTACCAAGGTCTTTTCTGCCAGGAAAGCACAGGCAACAGACACTGTCAACAAATAGGTGTAGGCCTACCTCTAACTAATGACTAGGGCGGCGGCCTCTACTAAGATAAGTAAATAAAATAAATGACATAGATAAATGACTAATCATTACATTATTATATTAAGCTTATAATGTATACCGCACATGTTGATACATATTAAATTACTTATACATAAATTAGAAAAATATTTATAAAATAGAACATAATATTTTTGAAGCTATGAATTATTGAATTTTACATTTTTATATTTTAGACATAGGCCTAGATATGCTAATAACCACTCTGAATTTACTTTTGACGTTTCTAAAAAAAAAATATCTGAATAACGAATTACGGATTGACGATTTTATCGTGGGGCGAAATTGTATATAAACGGGCTTTAATTTTAATATTTGTTTGATTGGTTCTTCACTGAGGAGAGTTATTTTTATAATCAAATCAGAACACCCTCCCTGATTCGCATGCTAAACGTTTGGTGGGCCAAAATACTAAAACCACAATAACACAGGAATCTCAGAGCAACGCAATCAAGTATACTGTCCAATAAAACGTTAAAAAAAAGACTGAAGAGAAATAGAATACACACGAATCCAAGGGTACGTGAAAGTAGGATCGCTTTATTTGAACAAGTGCGTCTTAATTGATCTGTTTTAAAAATTTCAAAATCTGAAGGTTGTAACAGATGAGATAAAAAATTAAATATAATTTATGAACGATAAATAAGTTGCAATGCCGTATCCCATGCTTATGCAGCAGATGAGTAATTCTGAGTGAGTGTAACTGTACTTTGAGTTGAGAACATGGGGAGTTGGCTTATCGTTATAGAAAAGTTTACAATTCAATCATGGTTGAGTGACTGACTGTCAAAGACTAATTCAATGAAGTCTGGTTCACTTTAAAAGCAATTTGGTAATCTAAATTGTTCATGGCGGAACCATTTTTTTGACATGAATTAGCAAGTGACCTACGTCGACACCATAAAAAAAATAGGGACAACACTCATTTCATTCTGGATTTAAACTTTAAAAAAAAAAAAAATCTGAACCAACTTTGCCAACCGCTAATAGACAAACTAGCCTATAATAAAATACCGAGTCCACCATACTTGTCAATTGTTGTCTTTCAGGCTACAAAAAACAACTTTTCCTGCAGCAACTATATTTTATTAACTATTGACATTGACTCATGGACGTTTGCTGAGGCAGGGTCTATTTTAAATTTGTTGTAGGAATAAGTATTAATAAACCAGGGAGTTGTTAGCAATTACTGTAGGTCTAAAGGTGAATGTTGGAAAATAGATTAGACAGAAATCTAAAATTTAAAGAAATAAATAAAGTCATGCTGATTTCAAATAACTTTCATAAGACCGAGAAGCAAATTTGATATAGTCTTATACTGTAAATCGAATTTTGAACTTGAGAGTTATTTTTGTGTATCACATGGCCGGAATGTTTTCTTCAAACCACCAAAAGTACGAACTCGATAACCGCGGTTAATATACTGTAGTATCATCATGGCGGAAGCTGGGGGAGCCGTCGCTTCACCACCAGTAACTATTGTTCCGTGGCCTAATAAAGGAGATGAGTACGAGCTAGGGAATATTATAGGTATGGCTTGCATATAATTATGATATCTATAAATTTAGTTTGAGCAATTTGTGTGGCTAACTCCCGTCGTGTTTACTTTAGGCACATGGCATGGCTAGGCTAGTGTTTTGTAGGCTAGGCCTCCTTGCGGACGGTTTGTGTTTTCTTTGGCAGTTCTGCTGCTACGTCTGCCGTTGAATCGCAATCTAACATAGGCCTAGATATAGGCCTAGACCTACAGTAAGCTTCGATAAGCCCTTCTTATCTTAGTTTGGGCTCACGACATACCACATCCGAGGGTAGACAGTGGAATAAATTACAGGCAGAGAAATCGTTGTATTTAATTAAGATGTCATTTGATTCCTCATTTGGTTTATAATATTATTATCAGAATAGAATCACACATCATTATCATTCACAATTCAAATTATTATTTTACAGACTTACTACATAGGGGGCCTAGTATATCATCATTATTTAAATATGAATATTTTTATTCATATTATCATCTCTATATGCCAACTGTTTGCTATTCAACAAGAAAATCATCAGTTAATTTGTCATTATCAATCATCCCAATTGTTTTCAACTTTATTCATTGTTTTAAATTTCTTGTTCATGATGATGATGATCCATTTTGCAGGTTCATTTTATTAATTTTTCATTAATTTATTAAACAAAAAAAGAAAACTTACATGGAAAAGGTAATGTTCCAGGGCTGCTTAAGTTGATTAAAAAGGAGTATTTGAATGTGCATCTTATCCTATGGTACTGTGTGGCCTACTTTCTATCATTACATGCAGTATTATTTAAAAATTATATAATTTATGCATTTGGTAGTACAGATCTTCAACGCACATATAATTTCCAGAAAAACCATGTGTCAGTAGCATACATTTTATTATTTCTAAAGCAAATTAATACTTGTAACCATTAACCGATTATTAAACTGACCAATTGCTGACCTTTTATGGACATGTGTATGTGACATGTGCTTTTGTACGTGACACACAGCTTAGTGTTTCATTGAGGTCTCAATGGTGTTTACTATACAGCATGCTCTAGCTATTGGTTATATTATATTGGTATACTTCCTCCCTCGATTACTCACCTCTGTGGAGGGGATGCAACAAATCAAACACATCCTGACGGTGTCCAGTATCTATTTTTTTTGCCGGTTATTTTTTTGTCCTAAACTTTGGAAAAAACATTTTTTTGATCCCAAATTTTCTGTTGATTCAGAAGTGATGTCAATGTAACTGATCCTAAATTTGTACATATGACTTTACAAAAAGCATCAATATTATTTTTCTTATTATTTTTATGATTAATATACAGTCTATGATGTTATTATTATTATTAATTATTTTATTAATATTATTGTTATTTATTATATATTTAACATATTAATTATTTTTATCATCAATATTGTATCATTATTACAACTCTTCTGTTTTGTATAATTATTTTTTATTATGAAATTTTAAATTCATCATTTAATGTTATACTATAGGTCAGCTATTTAAAACTCTATACTTAAACAGTGTTTTCTGCCTACATCATTATAAAAAATAACTTAAAATTGTTATTGATATTAGTACTTAGATTAATATTATTTTAGTATTATTATTATTATTATTATTATCATTATTATTAATATTATTATTATTTATATATATATTATTGTTATTATATAACTAATTATTGATTGATAGTTACTTGTTTGTTATTAAGATTATGTGTATTAAATTACCATAGCAATTTTATCTAAGGAAGATTAAGTCTAAGTTGAAACCCACGCCAGTACTAGTTCCAGAGTACAGCATTGCCACCTTACACCTGCAAAGGTATTGATTACATGTATTGTCACCTTGAAAAAGGTACATTTATTGACATATTCCAGGCGTGTTATACTGTCTTACTCAACTGGCACCTCTTTTTGAAAATACTTAAAATAGCAGTTTTCAACGCATGATAATATTTATCCAGTTCTTGTTTTGATATTAAAAAAAAAAAACCATTATTACACTAAACTTATTAATATATACTATACTTATTAATTTATTAATATTATATTTTGGTAAGATATTTATGTTTTATAATTATTTTACATGTGTGATTATTTTCTGCTTCTTCCCTAGGATTGATGATCTAATTGGACATTACATTAGTTTGCTATTTATCATAATTGCTGTATTGGGATAAAACTGTATCAAATATGAAATTGAATTTTCCTACTAGACTATTGGTTGTTTGTCTTACATAAACATTTTAGATTTATCCATATACATTTTTTATGCTGATCAATGTTTCAGAACTGAAAGGCAATATACTGAAACAAAAAACTTGTTAACCATTTGTTTTTTCAGTTAATATCCAAAACCTAACACAAAAACAGCATTGCCTTTAGAATCTCTATGATAATCATTGATAAAACATCTACTGTATGTACAGTAAATTATTGTTTCAAATATTGGAATAAATGAAATTAAAATGTATATAGTTTATAGTCAGTATCCTTTAAAGCCCTGATGTGAAACAAACATGTGACATGCCTAAATATGGTCATGATGACATCACATTATGACCATATATAGGCACATCATGACTATAATATATGGGCATACAACAGTTTTTGTCAAAGACAATTTGATAATCTGGACAAGACTCAATGTTTAGTTCTCATGCCAAACCTCCTTGTGTCATTTTAATTAATGCATTGATAGTAATTGATCTGAATCCTATTGCTGCAACTAATGCACTTGTACTGTGTATAGTAGGCTAGTAGATCACCGTAGACTATTAATGTATATATGGTGGTTGTTAGTAAATCATGGTTGATCGCTCAATGTGGAGTACATTTCATTTTATGGGATATGTTTTATTTATAGATTGATTTCTCTTGCAGGATATGGTGCGACTGCCTGTGTCCAAGAGGCCTACTGCAAGGCTCGACAAGAAAAAGTTGCGATTAAAAGAATCAACCTGGAAAAATGTATGACTTCTATGGATGAACTCTGGGTTAGTCTATTTTGATAATAATAATAATAATATTTATTTGGCAAAAGTATACAGAATCAAAATGACTTGTATTGCCTGGATAGGGAATGGGAATGGGATATATAATAATATAAAATTATAATAATAAAAAGAGTAAAAGAGACTAATTATACATTTGAATAAAATTGCAGTCATTCAATGTTGACAACAATGAAACTTGGCTAACCTTGTGTAAAAGGTTAAAATCGCAAACCTGGATCACAAGGAGATGCCTTAATTCTTTTGTACCACTATCCAACATACTTAATAACAAAAATATTTGCTGGGCATCAATTTTATAATAAATCATAATCTTTCTTTGCTTTGATTTAATTTACTTTTCTCCAATTTGATGTACCACTGAATCTTTTAAAAGGACATGAGTATATAAATCTTGACTCAAGAATATATTGATATTCATTTATAAAAATCAATGAAGATTTAAGCGTAGCAAAATTTTACAGGCAGTGGTGCAAAAATTATCATAAATTAAAAGGTAAGAGTATATGTTATATAATTACTCAGCCACACTGTAGCATAATTTAATTATTCATACTGAAATTCATAAATAAATTGATTTCTTAAAATGAGACTGCAACAATCTTATGCGAATAGATTATAAGCAGGGCATGTCTGTTGCACAAACACAGTGGTGTTGCTAGTGGGGGTCAGACCCCGTTGGTCAGGCCTGGACCCCCAGTCCACCACAATGAGGTCGGGCCAAAAATAATAATGTGACTATCCAAATACCATTATTTTGATTGCCAATCCATAGTATTGTTCTAAAAGCACAATGTGGACTATACCAAGCTATGAACTACCTGTGAACCCTACTACGGATTTTTGTTCTGGGACCCTGACCAAGCCTCTATTTGACTGTTCATTTCAGATCCCGCTTTCGAATATATCGGACTCCCTGTCTGCACATTTCTGGAGTGCTGGACAATGCGCTGCCACAGGCTGCTTGTCTGAGCTAATTGTTGTTGAAGATACTGTATCTTGTAGACAAGTTGGTCAACTGTCTGTCAATGCATTGTATGCCTACCTAAAAAAAGGAAAAGGATGGTTAATGATAATAATGCAGTGTGAAACAATGATACTGTAATATAATATTGTGTTATAATTTAAAATAAACATAATTGCTTTGCATGAAATTTATTAATATTCCCCTTTTTTATTTCTAGAAAGAAATTCAATTTATGGGACATTGTAAACATGAGAATGTTGTTACCTACTACACTTCATTTGTTTTTAAAGAAGAACTTTGGCTCATTATGAAATTGTTGTCTGCTGGTGAGTTTTGTCTCCTTTTATCTCAACAGCAAGCAGGTAATTGGCAACAGAATGGATATTGATTGCATTGAGCATATACTGCCCAATCAATGTCGAATATATTCATGATATATCTTTACCATCACTCTACACTGGCCAATCAGTACTACACTGACAAATCACTGTGAATTGATTATTATCTATATTGTATGCTTTATCACTGTTAATTGGAGAAATAACAAAATGAAAAATTTATATTTATATTCTTTGTTTTACAATACTTCCATTTTGTTAATATTCAAATTATGTTGAATTTTTAAACACAGGGTCTGTGCTAGATATCATAAAACACATAGTAAAACAGGGTAAGAACAAAGGAGGAGTCTTAGATGAAATCGTCATAGCAACCATATTAAAAGAAGTTTTAAAAGGACTGGAGTACCTTCATGAAAGTGGTCAGATTCATAGGTATGTTGGTGTATTAATGGAGGTAGTGGATAAGTAGATTGAGTAGTGATGATGATGATAATAATAAAATGATAATGATTGTGATAATAATGTGATTTTTAATTTTGCATTGATTATGTTGATGTTGACAATGACAGTGGCAGTTTCAGGATTTTTTTTTCTTGAGGCACAAGTAGCAATTAAGTTCCTCTGGTCTGAGGAGGAGGATGGAAACTATTGTGAGATGTCACTGGTTTTGGGTATGGTCCAGCGCTCCTTTTACTACCTTCTTGGATCTGCTCACTGAGTGGTCATGATTTTGATAATGGTTGTAATGATTATGGAATATTGTAGTTCAGCCGTAAAAAAAATTTACGTATTGATTCAAAGATCGGAGATTTACGTCTGAACTTTGATTGATTGATTGTGGCCTTGGGCAATCCACATTGTTTTTTTTCCACCCAGGAGTTAAGTGGTACTTAGTGAGTTTCAATGCAAATGCAAAGGTTAATTGCAAACAGCAACATTATAGAATATTTCGCCAGAGATTTGAGTATGTGTTTCACAGTGTAGTAAACTGAAGTACATAGATATCTTGGCATCATGTGCATATAAATGATGCTGTCTGCTGTCATTACCTTTTCTGACTAGTGGACTTCAATCTCTTCCTTCTTTGTTTCCAGGGATGTAAAGGCTGGCAATATCTTGCTAGGAGAGGATGGATCTGTAAAGTTAGCTGACTTTGGGGTCAGCAGTTGGTTGGCGACAGGTGGTGACATGTCTAGGGACAAATATCGAACAACATTTGTTGGGACCCCTTGCTGGATGGCCCCAGAGGTGATGGAACAGGTAAGATACCATCACCAGGTGGTGAGATTTTTTACCAACACAGGACAAAATATTTTAAGTAACCAGCACATGCTGAGAACACAAACACTTCTTAATTTGTTGTAGGTTATTTCAAGAAAAAAATAGTTACTTATTGATTGTTTTCTTTGTCAGATTTCTGGTTATGATTTTAAGGCAGATATTTGGAGCTTTGGTATAACAGCAATTGAACTGGCTACTGGTACAGCACCCTATTCAAAGTTTCCACCAATGAAGGTCCGTCTCTTACGTCATGTGATTATTATTAATGTAACACTACTTACTGAAATAATAAATAGAACTTAATGAAAATTGAAAGCATTTTTAGAACCAACTAGATATTATTTGCATAAACTACAACTTAAAGTGCATCACCTATAATAATATTATATGTGTTTACACACAATCACATCATACACTGCACTGAATATGTAGTTTCATTGGCTAAGGATAGACTTTTTCCTTTACATAGAAACATCTAATGTTTATTAATTCCAAAATATATTCCTTTGCATTAAACAAAATTATCAGTGATAGATATTTATTTTATTGCGGTTGTCACCTTTTCAAATTCTTTGACACACATTCACCTTTTCTAACTTCAGTCAAATAAGCACATTTTTTGAAGATACATTAGCACCTTTGATAATCGTATGTGTTTCGATTTTTCAGGTGCTTATGCTGACTTTGCAAAATGAGCCACCAACATTAGAGACTGGTACTGATAATAAAGATGAACATAAGAAATATAGTAAAGAATTTAAGAAAATGATCAGTAAATGCCTGCAGAAGGTACCTAATTTAAGGTAGGTATAATGTTTAATTATTGTTAGATATACAGTACCACCGCTTTTTCCCATTACCACTGAAATCATATGGTAAGTAAGTAAGTCCTTGCCGAGCCACTAGGCCCATAGGGGCTGGATCTTATCCCCAGTGTCTGGGTAGCATGAAGTGGATGAGAGTATGATGCTACCCTGCGTGGGATGCCAGTCCACCGCAGCTTACTCCCAGCAGTTTTCTGGTACCCATTTGTACAGCTGTGTAGACTGAATCAATGTAGACAAAGCGCCTGGACTCAAATGAAATGCACAGCGAAGAATTGAAAGCTCAACCTCAAGGTTGGGAAATCTTGTGCCAAACGCTTCCACAAAAAAATAATATGGGAAAAATCGTTTTGTATTGCTAAATCATCTCTGCATCATCCAACAAGATATCCCTACAAATTGATGTTTTAATGTAAAATTAATTTATATATATTTTTAAAAATTTTTATACAGGCCTACTGCTGCAGAGTTGCTTAAGATGCCATTTTTCAAGAAAGCTAAGGGTAAACAATTTTTACAAGAAAACCTATTAAATCTGGGACCCACTTTAAAGGATAGGAGCCAAAAGGTTGAAGTATTTATTTGTTATATTTAAGCTTAATGATCTACCATCTCTCATTTAACTAAAGACAAGTAAATTACAACAGTTAATAGCTTATTTAAATTTCTTTCTTACCAGCCAATTTAGGGATCTTAATTGGTAAGGTTTTTTGTTATTTTGATTTTTGATCTAAAACTAATAACATACAGTAACATCTCCCAATTATGAACCTCGCATTTATGAACTCTCGATTTTACGAACCAAATTTGCGTTGATGACGTCATTACGAACGATCGTTTTAAACTACAAAAACACATTAAAATGTATTTAAAAGTCTTCAGAAATAATTAAAATTGTTACATGAGCTAAGAGAGAAAACAATTAAACCAGTAATGTGATATATAATTTTAAAGCAAGAAATAGCAATCGTTTTCAGCCGAGATATATTATATTTTGGCTATGCATGCTTGTTCAGGCATTCTGTACAGTAAATCTCTCTTTTTGATCATTAGGGGCGCTAGTTATGAAAAGAATAATAACACTCATTTTTTACATTATATGGTCATATTTTCATTCATAAATCACTTAAAATCAATATTTCACATTGAGCACAGGTAATTTTGGCTTCTGTAAAGTATTATTTTGTTGCAGAAAACAGTAAAATCCAAGACATGTTTCGTGACAAAATTTTTCTCCCATGGCAAGTCTTAGGCCTACCCAGCCCTGTACTTTGTAGCATAGGCCTAGGCCAACCCTTAGCACACTGAGATGCTGAAAACCTGAACTCTCTAAAATACGAATTTTCTCATTTACGAACCCTGCTTGGACGGAGGGGTACGCAATTGGGAGATGTTACTGTACAATACATTGGTGGATTGAAGGGTAGCAGCCATACAAGCCCCTCCTAAATTTTTCAAAGTTATAAAAAAATGAAGAAAAATAAATTATATTCAAATTTTATTTATATAAAAAAATCTCGAAATGTCGTAATCATAATTTTCTTACCTCAGCCCAAACGTTAGCGTGGACCCCTCTATTTTGAATTCCGGAATCTGCCACTGTAGTCCTGTATACATACAATTTTTTTTTTAGCTCATTTCAGACGTTAGTTCTTTAAAGATATATAATGCCAATCAAAAAATAAATAACCTCAGAAATTCATGTAAAACATTGAATTGTTAAAATAGTATAATACATACTCCAAGTATCGAAATGCACACCATCGTGTCGGGATTCAATATTTCGACATTAGTTATGTCATCATCAGGAATCCTGATCATTCCTGAAATATTGTATCCCGACACGATAGTGTGCATTTCCATACTTGGAGTATGTATTTTACTGTACTATCTTATCTGAGATTAATCAGTAAACCTTTCAGTTTTTGAATTGTTAAACCACATGAAGCCCTGTCCAGACTATCAAATTTTATTTGACAAAACATGTGACATGCCTAAATATGGTCATGATGACATCACATCATCACCATATATAGGCACATCATGACTATATATGGGCACACAACAGGTTTGTGTTGTTGGAAATTTAATAGTCAGGACAGAGCATAAGTTGACCATCAATAAGTAACAGATTAAAAAAAATAATCAGTGACTCTCAGATGTTCATGTTCTTACATTTGCTGCTTGACTTTGAAGGTATATGCAAAGACTATGAGAATATTATGTAAACATCTGTTGCAGTAATGGATAGGGGAATTTTTTCTTGAATTTCAGTTAAAAAAGCTAGTAATTTATTTGCATAACAGTATAAAACTTGCATGTTCTTTTTTAAATATGTAAATATATGCTAGAATTAGGTGCCAATTTATTTTTATTACAGGCGTTATCAATGTTATAAACGTTGTCAATGTAAAAATGTGTAATATTTACTGTATGCTAGAAGCTCCTCTCCCACAACCTATTGTTATGTCTTACTGGTGACTCACAAAAAAATAAAATGGAAGCTTCTGCATCATGTAATAAGCTTTAAAGCTACATTTATCTCCTGAATTACTACGCATTTACCAAAAATCACTAACCAATTAACCAATCTGAGCTGTCATGTAAAGTACTCGCCTAGGCCTACCCCATAGCAGTAGTAGCTTATTCATCATTACTTCACTATCATTCTGGCCAGTATCTTGTCTTTAAGCTCTTAAAAATATCTTCTGAAATCCAATTTTGATCAATACTTTCATCATAAAAAATCCCTTACCCCCTCTGCAGTGTAACATAGGTTATTGCCTAAGCTTGATTGCGAAAAACAAGGGTAGATTTTCAGTGATTTGTAGAATTTTCAATAAAAATGCATTTGTCACTATTCAGCTAGGTAAATGACCTCTTGACCTAAAACAACAACTGAAAGGTAGTGCACTATAGAATTTAAGAAAAGCTCTAATGGTTTCTGAACATTTTTACAACTCTGAACATTAACAGTTAAGGTTGATACATACACACTGACACCTGTTTTTCTTATCGATTTAGGTGAAACGTGTTCCGGGATCAAGTGGGCGTCTGCATCGGACTGAGGATGGAACTTGGGAATGGTCAGATGAAGAGTTGGATAGTGATAGTGAGGAAGGACGAGCAGCCAGTATAGGTCGTTCACCCCGTGTTAAAATTGACCATGCTGAGATAAAGAGGCAATTAGAGGCCTCTAGGAATGAAACGAAAGAGGGCGACTCTGAATCTAGTAAAGATAAAGTGCCCGAGGAAGCCAAACCACCTGTCGATGCTCAACCTGTTGTCAAAGAAACAGTTCAAGCACCAGCAACGACGAGTGAAGGATTGAAAACAATATCACTTGTTCTCAGGTTAAGGTAAAGTGAACCCCAGTTCATCCTGATCTCTTTGTCATAAATTTGTCACTTGATCTGGTGTTTACAGACAAGACCTTGGATTACTGCTGGCTCAGTTGTTTGTAAGATAAAACTAGTCTCAGCTGACCTTAATTTTAGAGCACATTCTGTTGTTTCTGCCTATTAATCCACTGTTCATTGTCACTTGATCAGGTGTGACCCAACTCAGTTGTCATTATCCCCATAAGTTTATGTGGCTTATTAATTAAGTCTGTGTCTTACAAGGCAATGAAATGATGATACAGTAATAATGATAATAATAACATAACCAACCCAGCTTTTAATTTTAGTTTCTTTTCTAGCTGTTTCCTGTGTTTGTTAGAATATTTTTTGAAAATATTCAAACTATTGATTGATCGATTGATTGATTTGATTATCAGAACAAGGAATATGAAACTCCACCTGTTTTATAAAATACATCTATATGACACATTTTCTTCTTCCTTTTGCACTACAGGAATGATAAACAGGAGTTGCATGACATTCGATTTGAGTTCACACCTGAGAAAGACACACCTGAAGGTCTTTCACAAGAACTGGTCAATGCTGATCTTATTGATGGTCAAGACTTCATTGTTGGTAAGTAAAATGCCATACTGATAGAATATTATATCATGATTAATTATTATTACAGTAGAACTCTGAATTCCGAATGCCCAGAAAACAGAATTTCACACTAAACCAAACTTGTTGCCATAGAGATATCTATTGATTAAAACAACACACGAGTAAACGTAAAATGTTAGATAAAGTGAAAGTCATGCCTTCCATTGTAGATTTGACTCTAAAACAAAACCACTAGGGTTTCTTATTTGTTTTAATAAATCTGTTAATTAAAAATTTATCAGCTAACACTGAGTCTGTTCCTGTCTGCAAGCTGTCACGCACTATGAAACTTTGGGCGATCTGACGTCATCAAAGCTAAGCACATGTTTGCACATCAATGACCCCACCAAAAAAATTAACCTATTAGCGGGCAGAGTTTAGGTGCAACATGATGCTTACAACAACGGACCAGCAAGTTGCATCATGACCATGAAGAATGCGTTGTGCTTAGAAGAAACATCAGAACATAACTGCACATAAAAAATAATATATAATATAAAAGCATTCCTTTTATTGGTACAGTAATTAACTGTAGGCTAGTCATACCAAACTCACAGGCCTTTGCTAAGCCTATTCAGCATCTAGGCTCTAACTGGTCTACAACAGCCTTGTTCAGAAAGGAATCAATAGAAATGTTCCACAAACCAAACTTTCCTGAAAACCGAAACATAGTACACTACAGGGGGGGGGGCTCGATATTGGGAGAGTGCACTATATTGTTGTTATTATTATTATTAGACTGGTTTCGTTCATATCTGACGAATAGGACCCAGGTTGTTAATTTGAAGATTCATCATCTGAGCCTATGGATATCACATGCGGGGTGCCCCAAGGTAGCATTTTGGGTCCCTTGCTTTTTTATGCTTTGTAAATGATATGATAGTCAGTATTAACCCTGAATGTAAATTACTCTTGTATGCTGATGATAGTGCCATTGTATTTTGGCACAAAGATCCAAATGTCGTTGCCGATAGACTTGGTAACACTCTTAATTCATGTAGAATTTGGCTTATTGACAACAAATTATCTATAAACCTCAGCAAAACAGAGTCAATAATTTTTGGTAGTAAAGAAAAACTTAAACGTATAAAATCATTTGAAGTCACTACTGGTGGCCTTACATTAAAAGGTTCCCAGTCTGTCAAATATCTTGGTGTTTAACTCGATAATTCAGCCTCTGGTAATAATATTGCCAAGAGTGTTATCAAGAAGGCAAATGCAAGACTATGGTTTCTTTACCGTCAAGCAAGGTGTCTTGAAAAAATACTAGAAAATTGTTATCTATGGCCCTTATTCAATGCATTTTTGATTATTGTGCTTCTTCATGATATGAAGGTATTGATAAAGGTTTAAAACAAAAACTTCAAGTCACCCAAAATAAAATTATTCGGTTTATCCTTGATTTAGGAGCACGGACACATGTAGGTCACAAAAAGCTTTCCAGCTTTTGTCTACTTAAGGTTGAAGATCGAGTTAAATTTCTAAGACTTTGTAATGTCCATAAGATTCTTAATAATAATACTACTCCAAATCTTTCTGAGCAATTTACGCGAATTTCTGAAATTCATACACATAACACTCGTCAACATAAAGTCAATTTGGTTGTACCTCTGCTTAAAGGAAATAATCAGTCTCATTCAACCTTTTTCGTTTCGGCTATCAATGACTGGAATGCTCTCCCAACTAATTTAAAATTAATTACTAATATGGCTACATTTAAAATACACATCAAAAAACTGTATGAATTCAATAGTGCTCAATTGCAATAATTACAATTGAGCACTGTTGTGTTCTATCTAAATTATTAGTTAATTGGGTGCATCTTGGTTTTTAAATGCTGCTTTTTTTTCTTTTCCTTTTTAATATGTATTAATTTTGGTACTTTTTAATTGTGCAATTTGGACCCCATTGGAAATGGGCTGGATTCCCGGCCTAATGGGTGTTCCAGATGCTCGTTGTATTTGATTATTGTAAAAAATTCCTATATTGTATTTCTATATTTTATATATGAGCATCGAATAAATTCAATTCAATTCAATTATAATACTTAAAAATTTGTTGATATTTCTTTCAGTTGCAGCTAATCTGAGGAAGGTCGTAGAACAACCAGATGTCAAATCCTTTGTTTTTAGACTTGTAAGTCACTTCACAACTTGATAATAAATCTTCTTTGGTGATAAGTAATATAAATATGATAAATTATCAATTGCATATTTTACAGTGGTTGCACCCACAGGGAGTTGGGGGCACAGGTTCCACCCATGTAACTCTGACTGCTTGTCAGGGAAGAAACCAATAATTTTCATCAGGAAACACTGCATTGTTGAAATAGCATTTTAAAGAGTCTGAGAGTGCCTATTCTTAACATTTGCTGAGGTGGGTTTCGAACCTGAACCCCAGTCGGGAACCTTGGGACCCCTGTCTTGGAATCTCTGGCATTGCCACTGATAACATGCAGTACCTTGAGAAAAGCTCAAGAGAGTACACTAGCTTTGCCTCATGTCATTTTAATCAGGTGTTGAGTTGAGTGCAATGAGAACAAAGTGTATTTTTCAAAGTAATATTCAATATCATTGCTGCATAAGTGCTGTGGTGTGTCTTGGTGAAATTATGTACTATGTCTACAGGAGGTGCAGGTGCTTTTAATCCCACCGTGGTGTCTTGGTGAAGTATGGTAGTGTCTTGGTGAAGTATGGTGGTGTCTTGGTGAAGTATGGTGGTTTCTTGGTGAAGTATGGTAGTGTCTTGGTGAAGTATGGTAGTGTCTTGGTGAAGTATGGTAGTGTCTTGGTGAAGTATGGTAGTGTCTTGGTGAAGTATGTTCTACTTATGTGTACCTAGGGATGACGCTACACTTTGTTTGGCTGCGCTGCTAAGGTGCTGGCTTTCAATCTCAGTGATATGGGTTCAAATTATGTAATATTCCATTTTTCCTTCCTCACAACTAAAATAGTCCACATAGTAACCACCGAAATGAGACTCCCCTGTTATCTAGTACTGATAACAAAATTTAAGCCACTAATTTTAAAAAAGCTTATGTCATTGTTAGTTATTTATTTGTTTTATTCTTTCAGAAATCTGCACCAAATGAAGCCCCAGACGATAAAACTTTAATTGGTTTTGCTCAGTTGAGTATTTCTTAACCACATACTACTAGAAAAAACCAAACAGCAGTAAATGTTATAAGAAAGAAAATCCACCAACTCATCATCCAATCTGTCTTTCATAATACTGTATAAGAACAGTCCAATTATACAATCTATAATTTTATTACTTGTATTATCAATTGCATAATGATTGAATGGCAGCCTTCTACATAAAATACTGTATATACATAGATCTTGAAAGCTTGTAATTGTCAAAGATATTTGACTGATTAAGCTGTGCACTCCCTGCGGGCGACGGTCGTCGACCAATGGCATTGTATGGAGAACGCAGAGACACAGCATACGCGCAATTAATCGTTTTTAATGAAGATCTGTTCAGACTGCAACCGACAATCAACAGACGGCGTCGTGTCGTCTAAGCACTCACTGGAAGCTAAGTTGGATTCGGTGTACTACGCACAATAAGTGCCCGGCTTTAGTGTAAGCTGGTTTCTAGGCACTACAGATTATAAGTAGGTTGTGATGTTTCAAAGTATTAAGTTTTTGTTGATTTTATTATTTTATGTTAATTAAGCAAAGACATTATGATTCACATTTATAAACATTTTAAAAAATTTGCTAAAGCACTGTCCACACTATCAAATTCACACACAAATATGAGACAATTTTTACAGATGTTTGTCATCTGAAATTTGATAATGTGAACAGAGCTTAATGATGTATTGTCCCTTAAGAATGACAAAAAAATCATAAATAATAATAATAATAACTTATAAAGCGCCAAGATCACTAAAGCAAAGTAAAAATCAAAGGCGCTGTGCATATTCAGATGTTAAAAAGGCGGGTTGAGTTTGGTCTTAAAAATAGCAACTGAAGCTGAGTCGGTAATATGTTTTGGGAGGGAGTTCCAAAGTGTGGTAGCTGAAAATGAATGTGGTCATAGGATTTGGTGTTAAATCTTGGAACAATGAGCAAATTAAGGTCAGAAGAAGGGAGGAAGGATAAGGAGACATGTTTAGGAAAGAGTTCTTAATTTTTAAATTAACTTGCTCATTTACAGTAATATACAAATTATTACAGGTACTTTGAGCATAGAAATTATTAAATTAAAATAAAAATGTGTACCCTGATTTTTAAACTGGATAATTATAATAAAAATAATAAAAACACTTCCAGTGACTGGAAGTGTTTCTATCATTTTTTGCTGTAAACTTTTTGGTAAACATTTTTTAAATAATGTACACTAATTTCTATGTTCAAGTTGATAATTTCTATGTTACTTTAAAATCTCAAAAACGATTTTATGGTTTTTATCGTATTTTTGCATGGGACAATACATCTTCATTAGTATGTACTGTAGTATTGCAATTAGCCACCCCTTTCTCTCCATTCTCCCACATTTTAGACTTTAAGTAGTGTACATATCAAAAGCAAGATTGAATTTGGTGTGTTTTAAAAAATCAAATTTATAACATTTTTATGTATAGTTGTTTTTGGAAAATCATGATAACAATGATAATCCTAACAATAACTAATAGTATAAGTGATAATATATAAAATTTGTATAGAGCACATATCCATTTTAAGAAGAAAGGAAAAAGGTGCTTAAGAAAAAAAATATCCATAGGGAATACAAATTAATTAAAATACCATCTAAAATAAAAGAAGCCCATCCCAATGTTGTCTTGTAAAACAAGTTCTCGTAATCTCGATAAGGGCAGTATAATAGAGGCAGTAAAATATATTGGCCTCCCATACAAAAAGAAGCTATTAATAGAAGCAGTAGAATATATTGGCCTCCCATACAAAAAAAAAATGAATCTATTAATAGAGGCAGTCAGAGTATATTGGCCCTAACAGACACTCGTACAAAAAAAAAAGGGAATCTATTACACAATCAGCCGAAAAAAGAATCTATTAATCAAACCTAGAGCTCCTCATCGAAGCTAAAAAACAAGCATTACACATATAGGTTAAAAAACTTGCAGTAAAGTACCGGTAGGGAACCAAGTTGAAATTTAAACGAGTCAAAAGTTAATTTATTTTACATAACAACCTTTTGGTCATAATCTATAATCCTTCTGCCTTTCGAAGAAGAATGTGTTAATAATATGAAGGAGTTAGTCCTTTTGGCTATCTGTAACTTGAAAATGCTAGAGTTAGAATGGTTGAATACAGGAATTAAAAAAATCTCATGCTTTAGGCTAAATAAAAATTTAACCATCTTGGTTTGAAAAAATAATAATAAAAAAAAATGATGAGTAAATTTATACCACACATTTTCAGAATTTTGTTTTACTACCCCTTATAATTGGAGTCATACATTAGCAAACAGGCACAAAGTGAGGCCCCCTCCACTACTTTACCTAAGAGTATTCCTAGTCATGCTTGCATTATAATGCTGCACATACCAGTACAGTACATTCAATGCCACGTCTGACCTATTTATACTCCTGGGTGGATGTAAAGTGCTTTTGATTTCTGCGACGATGCGACGCTAGAATGGAATCACTCAGGCGTGACCGTCCTACCTGGTGTCCTACGTTCTCTGCATAGCATACATAGATTTGGCCAAATTGCTTTTCATAATCTACTCGACGAGGTGACCTTAACGTTCTTAACTTTTAGTGACGTCATTACGTCCTACCGTCGTCGTGCAAGCGAAAGCTCCCTAATTATAGAAATGAAATCCATAACAAAGGTTTAAACCTCCCTCTAATCTCAAGGTTGAAAGACCAAAAGATATATATGGCTCTCTTTATTTCCTTTTTTACATTCCCCCGTACCCCCTAGATAGGGTGGGCTTATTTCGATCGGCCACCCTTCGGCCTCTCTTTCGGACATCTCTGGATCCACTCCTGAGGAGAAACCTTTTTTAATTTTGCTTTATGAGATGTAAAGAAACATAAGCAAATAATGATGATGTAACTAAAGGCATTTTTTATGATGCATTGTGCGAGTTGTACAATACACTAAAAGCTCAACTAATAGAATTTAAATATAGATCGTTGTTGATCACTTGATATTAGTTTTGTCACATAAGATGCTGTGTATAGCATATGTGTTTAAAACAACCCAATAGGCCTATTCCTCATTGTTAAATATGAAAGAAAGACCAGTGGACACTTGTTGTTGATTTCGCTAAAGAAATTATTGAATGACTGGTATGAAACAAGCTGCACTGTTCAGAAACATTTTATTAAGTTTAAATATTTTTAATCATTATAGGAGTAGTCCTACTACTCGTAAATGTAAGTAAACTTGTTATATCGCCTGTTACTAAGTTTTCACGAAGGGTGCCTCCACAATTTCCAACCAGCAACATACTTCTAATCCTTGTTTTTTTGGAAAAAAAACTTGACTGAAGTGAAAGTGAAACTTCATACAATTACTTGATTATTGTTAACTGAAAAGGTGAATTCATTGAACAATAGTTATATACCAATATTTCAAATAGTCTATAGCCAGATACTAGTGCTCACAAAGTTGGTTATACTAGGCCTAAATTATATATTACTTTAACTTAGCCATCATTGGTGAGTTGTATTTGGCCTTCTTATGTGTGTGAAGTCTATTTGATATTTATGTCTAATACCATTATTGGATGAAATCAATACTGTACAGTATATTGAAATGAAAGGGGTGGTGATGAAATAGCAGTAGGATAAAAAAAACTGTATACTAAAATGTATTTTAGAAATTGCCCACAAATTATAACATCCAAATCAATGATGGTATATAGTGTCTGTCAGAACCATAGACTTATATAAATATACTAGAGCTATAATAATATAACTAATAATTAGTAGAATTTATGAATAATGAATTGAATAATAGTTTAGAGAAGATGCCATGCTGTGATATTGTTATAGCAATTGGCTTACATCCTGTCTATTTCTTTATAATGAGTCACATGTTAACGTGGGCCAACCAAAATACAAGTGCGGGTCACAGACACCTTTGAAAAGAATGCTTTAACAATACCTGATTGATAGCTGTTGATTTATTACCGCTAGAAATGTTTTTGTTTTTAATTTTTAATGAGACTTGAACCAAACTTGATACGATCATGAAAATAAATAATTGAAACTTCTTGTTTTTTCATGAACCTCTCTTGCATACCAGTAATTGAAGTTTCCCTGAATTAAAGGAGAATTTTACCAATTTTATATAATTTGAGAACTGACTTAGCATACTCAGTTACATACAGTAATATCCCATTTTTAAGATTACGAATTCTTTTTGCCTGCATGGACCATTCGATATTATTTTTATACGAATACAATGATAGTAATAATGCGAAGAACTGGTCTAGATCCCTCCTAATCTTATGCATTACAATGGCCTGTCGCTAAAATTTGATTGAGCGCTGGACCTGGGCGTCATCACAATTAAGTTTAGAGCGTCTATAAACGTGCACGAGATTCGTAATTTAAAAAATGGGGTATTATGTTTCTGATTATGCTATATCAGTCCTCAAATTATTTAAAATCGGTAAATGTATCCTTTAAAAGGTAATATGATGATACAATGCAGTGGCGGCGGCAAAGTTTGTGGGGTGGGGGAGGGGTTATGGTGAATCAGAAGCATACAGTCTGACAAAGGTACGCCAAGATTACAAGCCACAGCAACAACAGCACATGTTGTTGGGGTGGGTTCTCGCTTTAATTCGAAGACATTTTTGACTGACAATACTGTAGTTACAATGGATATAATCAATAATTATGCCGGCGTCCGTAGCCTCAGGAAAACCACTCAAATATGTTTTGTTACACTCGATGCTCGTGTTTGCAAATGCCATTCATAACCTATAGAAGAACGTTAAGAAGAACGCTGAACTTTATTATTATCTTTAGAGAAGAAATGATAATGGAAAAATAAAGCATTGTTTATTATGTTTGCATTTTCAGTGATGCAAATCGACATATTTCAGCTATACAGGTAGAAAAACTGAACAATAGGCCTACAGTTAACATATCAAGTGATTGCATTCCCACGAAACGATGATTCTCTGTTTTGATGCTTACAATCTATAAAAAAAATTGACAGTGGGAAATTAAAGCATTGTTCATTATGTTTAACATTTTCAGTGAAGCAGATACGATATACGATGAACTTTATGTTATATTAAAAATACATTTCAAATAGAAGTTTAACAAATAGAAACATGAATTGTAAAAATTGCAACTATAAAAAAACACTTTTGCTGAAATTAAATTTTAATTTTATAAATACACATTTGTAATATTTCTGATTATTATTATTTAAATTTATTTTGTTTTAGTTACTTATATACAAAATTCTAAAATTATAAATATAAAAATAAATTGTATGTATACACGTTACTTAATTTTCGAATTATCATTATTAATATTATTTTTTAAAATTATTACTGTACACCTTGCAATTATAAAAATAAAATTCCATCATACTGAAAATTACCATGGAAAATATTCAAAAGAGTCGTGAACGCGGGCTTTGAGAGCCTCTACCATTTTTTAAAAGATCAGATATATTTAAGCTATACAGGTA